TTTTTTTTTTTTTTTTTTTTTTCTTGGCAGACGTTTCTTCTATGAGAACTTTCCCCAGCTGAAGTTTAAAAATCCACATGTTGAATTTTCAGGATCACAGGAGAAATCACAACCTGCTGAACTGCTAATTAAATTTGGTATGTTGAAGTTATCAATATCAGTTGCTGTTTTTTTTTTGTTTTTTTACTATTCGAGACTGTCCTTAAGTGTATGTGTCTGGGATTAAACCTCTTCACTGGCAATTCATTTTTTCATTCATTCATTCATTCCTTCAGTCTCTGGTTTATGGTGTATATTAGCCAGGCAGACAATAACAGGCACACTCTACTAAGCTGAGTTTAAGTGACTTATAAAAATACTTTAAATGTAGTTGTAAATGTCAATATGTTCTCTCTGGTAGTGAATGGACGAGAAGAAAAAATATCAGCAGCAAAGAAGGAACCTTTACAGATCATGCAAGAAGTTATACACATTGCAGCTGCAACACCTAGCTCAGAGTGTGTACCTGTATTCAGAGTGTGTATTGTATTGTATAAATCCCTTTTTGACCCTGTGTATTACACTGTGTTGACCATGACTTCATTTTTTTTGTTTTTTCAGACCTGAAAATTCTCTAAAAGATGGTGACACATTAAATGAAGACCAAAAGCACACAAGCACCATTCTGTAATGTGTAATTCATGTCATGTAAAAAAAAATGAGGCACATGAAAAACTGTGTGCAAATCACCATGTTATGAACTATAGACAGCTTCACGTGAGATGTAAACAACACATAAAATATGCTAAGAAACTTGAGATAAGATTGTTGGAAACTGACAAAGAAGAGGTCGTATGTAGTGTTAGACTACAGTAAGTAATTGGTTGTGAAAACAAACAGAGAAGGAAATGAAGCAATGAAAAGAAGAACTATTAATAAACTGAAACAAAACTTAGACCAAGAAAGAAAGGAATGAAGAAAGAAGAACAAAGTAAACTTATACGAGAACAAAAGATCCCTCTTTCCAGTTAACTTTTTGCCGCCATTGTGCAGTTCCAGGAAATATCCATGCTCTCCCCACAGAAGGGATTGGAATTTCCTGTTGGTGGGGGACTTCTATAAGACCAAAACAATAAATTTAAAGAAATGTATGAAGCTTAATTGGAATTTCCAGAGGGATGAGTGGAGGGTCCTATACAAGATCCCTTCTGTGGGGAGGTATGGATAATTTCTGGAACTACACATTGCATTGCAGTAAAATTCAATATACATTAGAGGCAATTTTGGGCAGTTTTGTAGTTCCTGTCCAAATCAGACTGTGCATAACGTAGAAACAACGTACTGTGACAATAATTCCCTTTCTACAAACTTTCTAAATTTGGCTTTCTTTGATAAACATTGAACAGTTAATGTAATAAGTATTTATAACAGTCTCTGTTAATTTTAATAGTTCTTTCCTGTGAATGATCATTGAAACGACAAATTTACAGATTTCTTACAACAAGTTTTTTTTAATAGTTTTACTTTGATGTAATACATTGTTTATTTTCCCAACTTTCCATCAAGTTCCATACATCATTCTAAAAGCAAATATACTCTGGAGTGCTCTCTTAGCTTGTGACTAAATTTCATCATTCGGATGATCTAGCAGCCCTGTTAGCTCTCCATACAATACATTTACATGTTCTGTTATCTCTGCTTGTTGTTGCTACAAGAAAAAATAATGAATGCATTAATTATTTGATGGTGAGATGATGAGAGAAAAATGCTTACATTGTTGTCACACAAGTAAAGGTGGCAAGTAGCCTCCTACGCAGTTGCTCTTTGGGTTCGTCATGCAATCTTTCTGCCAGGAGGAAGATTGCATGACAAGCCTAAGAAAGCATTTGCTTATGAGGCTAGGTGGCAAGCAGTTCTTTGAAAACCAAAATACCTCTGTATACTGATCAGGACTTGCAAGTAAGTTGGCTGAGATTGTAACAGCTCTTAAAACAATGTCATCTTGATTGTCTGGGAGCATAAATGTCTGGAGAATAAGTAGTGGCTGCAAGAAAAAGAATTAAACAAACCACATTTAGTCCCGACTCACTTTGTCATCCAGTATACAAAATTTAATGAAGACCAGTTTTTTTTTTCTGGACAGCCACTTTCAGATGTATCCACAAACCTTAAATTCCAGTAATCCTTCCAGATTATTAACATTGCAAGACAAGTTTACTAGCAGTCTCAAAACCTCTCTCTGACAAAAATCAAGGAAAGCTATGATCAAAATGATGATGTTTAAATACAAGTCATAACATTGTTATTGTACATGCATTACAGTGATATCAAGCAAGTTCTTTGTGTTAATAATCAAATGCATGTTTTAACACAATAATATTTCTTTCTCAATGATACTAAATGCTAACCAAAATTTGTTGAATGAATCTAAGCTTTTGCATTAAGTGAGAGTGATTTTATTTAACCTGTCATACCACATTTAACAAGAATATTAGGCTGGGGACAATTTATAGTCGACTACTGTAATCAAATGAAAATAGGAAAATTGGCGTCTAATTGTGTAAAAATCATTTCACAGGTCATGTAAAATCACTCTTCTCACACACCACTGGTAGCCATGTCAAGCCAACCACCACCGCCTGATCTTTATTGAAAAATTTGAAATCAAAGCTAATACAAGTAGCATTATGTTAAAGACCAGAAATAATGAAAAAAATTCAAGGCTTGTACATTATACTGGCATTGTATAAAAACTCTGGGTGGGTGGCCAGGAAAGTTGGTAATGGCCGACGCAACAGAAATAATGCCACCTCACAGACTGCAAGGAGGCTCCAGTGGTGTGTGAGAAAACATTCTTCACTTATTTCCTTTCACTCAGCCAGTGAAAAATTACTCATAATTTCTAAAATACAGCACTGGTAGCCTAAATGTTTCTGGAAAATATTCGTGTGAGTAACAATTCAATTTACCTGAATTTTTCCTGAGAGAGATTGAGAGAGCATATTGAAGAAATCTTGTACCCCTGTCATGATTTCATCATGTGCAATATTTGTTGCTGACAAATTAACGAGGAGCCTCAAATGTTCTATTATCATGTCTTCATTACTGAGAACATCACAGTATTCAATGTTTTTTATCACATCAAGAATGCTGCCCTGGAAGATAAAAGTAACACTAAGATAAAACTACAGTACATATTTTTATTATTTTGCATGTCCCATCAATAGGGTGGTTTTCAACTGAGTGTCATAAAACCAAAACAAATGCAATTACTTACCAATTAGACTACTTAAAGCGGTTCTCAATTGAGAGTTGTAACACCAAAACCAAACCAATTACTTACCAATAATTATTAGACTACTTAGGGTGGTTTTCAGGCGAGTGTCGTAAAACCAAAACCAAAGTAATCTCTCTAGCCAATCAAAAAAGACACATGATACAGTAAACCATCAAAATTTGAAGTAATTACATGTATGTCTAGCTAATGCAAAGAACAGCAAAATGCATGTGAACATGTCACAATTGGTTTTGGTTTTATACTTCTGACTGGATGAAAAAGTGATGCAATATTTTTAAGCCATTCCTGTAGCATAGAAAGTGCAAAACCAATTACTTTTTTGACACTCAGGTGAAAACCACTCTTACTAGTCAATCTCAAACCATAGTAAAACAAAAACCAAAACCAAGGCAACTGCCTGATTATTCGCGACACTCAATTGAAAACCGCTCTTACATGCTGAATTAGTGATCATATTGATATGACATTATGAATCACTGTACATTTCCATTACCTTTAAACTTTCTTGATTTTTTTCATTCATTGCCAGGTTGGACAGAACCTGGGCTGCCTTGATGTTGATATTTTCACTTGGGTGTGTTAAAAGGGCCACAAGCCGTTTCAAACCTCCACACTCACGAATCAAATTCTGCAGATTGAATGAAAAGGTTACCAGTCAACATGTGCTAAAAGTTGCTTGATACAGTCATTCCACACTTAGGGTGACGTACCAGTGAACAGGAGTGTGTGAACAGACTGCGGGGTTGGGAATGGGCTGAAAACAAAATGCTCCAACACATTCCAATTCTTAATACGGTAGAAGCTCACAATCCTTGGGGAAGGTCAGGAAAAGGTGGGGGGAGGGGGGGTATTGGGAATCTCCCATAGAAAACTGTCAGAGTAATGTATTGATCAAATAAAGAGATCACCCCCCCTCTTCATATCCCAGACATTTGACCAATTTCTTGTGCCCTACATGTAGAAGACCAAAATATGATGTCAGTGGTTCCTATGAGGTGGGGCATTTGACACCACATAGAATTTGAAATTTGTTCAATTTAGAAATCATTTAATAAGAGACAAAACCGAATTTTTCTCTAACATAACATTGTGGCTCAAAAAGAAAAAGGCTTGTTTAGGATAGGAACGTGCACTACCCATCAGGGACTGGACCAGAGAAAGTGGCAGAAATCGAGCCTAGAAAAGAAAGGCCCCCAAAAGCTTTTTGCTGTGTTTAGGTTTGGGTTAATTAGGATAAAAGCAAAATTATTGCTTGCAAAAATTTAATCGAGACATGAGATACAGTGGAAGTTTAACATGGGTTTTCAAGGGTGATTTTTTTTTTTCTTTTCCACGTAGTAATAATTGTTTCTGTCACGTACATGGATGTTCCAGGGGTAGGGGCATTTGATCACCTAGTGTGACCTTCAGGTGGGGCACTTGAACACCATTTTTGCACCAGGGTAATGGGAATTCGACCAACCAAAAATTTAAAATAT